TCCCTTGGCACTCGTCCAAATGTCGTCCCATTTGTTCAGGTATAACTTGTCGTCATTGCTGTATTCCTCCAGACGGGTTGTGTAGATCTGAAAACAATTTGAGTCATTCCTTTACTAGTTCACGATAAGCTCGATACGCGACGTGGCCGCAATGGGTCGGCACCGCAGCTAATCAAGAAAACCAAGATCAAGCGCTACGCACCTGAATATACTGCGCATTTCGGTGATTGTCGGGCTGGCCACCGGCCCACCTTGCGTATTCGAATCGGCTACCATCGGTCCAGGCAAAGTCCTTCATGCCCGGGCCCCATCTGAAAATGGGTGGCGGAAGCATTAATAGGCTGTTGAACCGAAGCAAGGCCTTCTTGCTTTCTTAAATTTTCTAAATCTTCTAAGGACCGACCTGCTTCCCACCAAAACCACGTTCCAGCTTTTGGTCCAGCTTTGTAATAGTTGCCCTGTCGCCCATGCACGTATGTGTCGGTAAGTTCTAGAAATAAGGGGAAAGTGACAGTACGCCCGGTGGAAGGTCGGGAAGAGTTGTGAGCACCGGTTTTAGGAACCAGAAGCGCAATCGCTACGCAAAAAAACAGCGTGTAGATGCTGGCCAAAACTCGGCGTAGTAACCACCAGGTGAAATGAAGACCGCTTCGGCGGCCCTTTCCACTGGCCTCGTCTAGGAACCATATATCCCCTTCCGTTTTCCAAAGCTTGCGGTTCAACTCTGGCCTATCAGGCTCACAGGAACTATTCTCCACTCGCGGCGCCTTAGCTACTGGTTTTTTCTCCAGCACCTATTCGGCGGCGCTAGAGCCCGGGCCAAGGACCTTTCTCTATCCCTGCGGCGCCAGAGCCGAGGGACTTTGCCCAAATTTCTGAGAGCCTCGAAAAAATGTTTTGTTGTTGGAACTATCAAAAAGCAAAAGCTACCTTCACTGAGGATCCGAACCCTCCTCGACTATGCGCACGGTAGAGCGGGCACCAAACCACTCTATACCAAAGGCGGCATGGGGACGGGTAGCGGGAAAGGCCCTTCTTATCCGGGGCTGGATCAACCTGGCAGGGAGGACTTCTGGTAACTTTACAAAAATCGCTATTTTAGACTGAATGCGCCAAAAATTTGTAAAGATAATAAGATGCGCGTGATCCCCACTATCGTATACATAAGTGGTCCAAATTACAGACCGAAATTCCATCTGGGCATTGAGTTATGCCCCGAACACCACGGCTCGTCGCCCATTTTGTTAAGGATTTTCACCATTTCGTTTGTAAAATCGTTAAATCAAGGAATTTCGAAAAACAAAAAATGCGTGTCTGGCAAATGTGTTTCTCCACCTCCATGCCAAAAATCAGCCGGAAATTCGGCCTGAGGGCCGAGAAATCGTCTGCACAGAAAACACACATACTTTTCTCGCTTATAGGATAGGATGATCTCCGCGCATGGCTCACCTCGCGCTTTTGATATCAAATCGCTGCCAGAACAAACTATCGCAGCGCTCGAGCCCCCTAAAAGCCTTAAAGTACGCCCAATACCTGTAACGATCCGATTTTCCTCATCAGAATGGATTGAGATTAGCTCGGCTCCCAAAGCAGGTATGATTCCCGCGCCTCGGGCCAGGTGATGACCATCAAACGTGCCGATCAGCTAAATATTGTCATTTTCTAGATTTTGCGTAAGAAAAACCTTATAGCATCCCATGGTATCTGGGAATACATCCATTCCGGGTCGCAGGGTGGGAATAGGACGGCCGGAGATGCAAAGTCCTCCTAAAAATATAAAAACTGTTATCGTTACCGTAGCCAATTATCGGCGCAAGGATTTTTTGTGTTACTCAGAACGTTCTGTATTACTACAGTTAAACTACCTCCCGATATCCCCCGCAAGCCGCCACGTACGTTGCCTTATGATCGGTAATACCAACTCTGGTCCTTCAGACTTATCGCCAGGTATCCGGGCATTTGATAACCCTAAAGAAAAGTGTGATTCTGGAATCGTTTAGAGAAATCTTACGTTTTTAGAAACTGTACGCAGCAACTTCTGAACCGTCGTTCCATTCCACGTGACTACCATTATAATATCCGCCCAGCCAGACCCATTCTGTAGAGTCCTAAATTCCGAATAAACGTTTTTTGATAAATGTTACGTACCTCAATTTTTCTGCGTGCCTGTCTTACCAAAGCGTGACTTTCATCGGCTTGGAGAATTGAAGCCCCAGTCATGCCGAGGCTAAAGTTCATAAACGTTCAACATTCGCCCCAGGGGCTTCTCTGCCACCGTGAAAAAAATTGTGTAGAGAAACCGACTTGTTACAATAATCCATCGCCTGCTGCCACGTCATCTTCATCGGGGTCACATGGTAACACTTTGTGCCCGACGGGTCCCAATCCGAAGCCCCGGGGCAGAATCCAGAGACGGTATAAATGAAGAGAAACGGTATAATGTATTGCACATGCATCTATGAGCTGCAAAATCTATATTAAAGGCTTGTTTGCGAATAACTGTGTCACTAGGAAAAGGCATGAAATAAGGACATAACCGGCATCATTTAAGTCAAGACGGCGCGATTGCGCTGCTCAAAAGATTTCAAAACTTGGCTATAGAATTTTCTTATCGAAATTTCCCGGAATTTTGCTTAAAGGTACACTAAAATCTCGCTTAAAAAGTAGTTCGTGGTCGGGAATTTGGTCCCTTTGTCGTTAGATGGACCGACCCTTCATATCCCCTCTCCGCCTCCCCTCCCTTGTCTCTCTCATGGCCTATTGGCCTATGGCGCTTGCCCCAGGCGAGTGGTCAGGGTTCAGTTTTTGCTCCGCAGCGGCCTCTACCGTAACCCTGTTTGCTATCCCGCGGACGGTTACCGGCCATTATGCGGACTCAACGGGACGTTAGTGTAGCTTTAAAGAGAACTCCGATTACATTCAGACTGTATAAAAAACGTTCACAACTGAGGAGAAGTAAGCTAGGTCAAAGCGGGGTTAAGAGCGTTAGAAAATCCGATAATTATTAAGGTTTGGAACTTTAATAGGAGTTTTGGAACCGGGCAAGAGCATTTGAATGGGCGTGCCCGAGTGTCCTTTTCCCTGGGGTCGCTCCCCTTTCCGGGAATGCCAGGAAGCCAGAGAAGCGGTTTGTTTATAGCTCCAGGGGAGTTATCGGAAGATCGGACCTTTCAAAAAACACAAAAACCACGTTCTGATTGATATGATTAACAATGATTTCTGACGTTATATCGGCGGCGTAAGAAGCGGAATGCATTACCAAGGAAAGGTGCACGGAGAAATAAAATTAGGCAAGATTATTGGAAAATGCGAATTTTCATTGCATTACCGGGCTCCATAGTACACGAAAATGATCCGGTTGCTCTAGAAAAATGGATTTTTAAGCAGATCCGGAAAAATTTGGCCTAAATGTTTTGCATATTCACGTGTTTCGCATTCCAAATTGCGCATATTCCTGGTAAAACAAGCGGAAATTCATTCGCAATTCCCCGCCGCCCATTTTTCTGCCATGATGTGGTGGACAACTAGTGTATGTAAATTAGGCTTGGATACAAATTTAATGTAATTTCCAGGGATACGAACCGCTGCCAATGGCGACGCCCAGTATTCGCCCCGGTTTGCGTACCTATCGACGCCATGTGTACATCGCCGGCGGGCTGCTGCTGATCTTCGTCAGCCTGTTGATCATCTACTACCATATGGGGACGGCGGACACCCAGATGTGGTTCAACTTCCCGGATATCATTCAATTGCCGGAAAACAGCAAGTTGAGATTAGGGGTTTCAAAACGTCGAAAATTTTGATTTCCAGAGCGAAGTCTCCGCAATTTCAGTTTGTCGAAATTTCATAATCACCGATATTTTCAATGCCTCAAAACGGCTAAAATTTTGCCTATACGGTCACCTACGCAAAAACATAACTTTTTTAATATGTCAAAATGCTCAGCAGGACAAGCTGGTGCAGAGATCCGTTGAGAAATCTTGACGGCAAAAGCTCCATCTCGAGTTACATGACTTCCGAAGTTGGCAAGTGGCGTATCCGGTCACCCTACTCAAAACACAACTTTTGATATGTCAAAATGTTCAGTAGGACGAGCTGGTTTGAGATCCGTTGAGAAAGCTTGGCGGCGAAAACTCTGCTCTCGAGATACGCTGACTGAATAGTTCGATATTCACGACAACGAAAAATCGGTTTTCGCTGAATCGATAAGATAAATAACGGTTCGATACAAGCAAGCGGGACTCAACACGCCCAGGTTGAAGACCTAAAGAGGCTTCGTGCCGCAGGGGACTAGTCGCTTCGGATTGGGCACCCGAGCTCGTACAGAACCCACGAAATGGGGGCGCCAAGGCCGGCGAAGCGGCCGGGGGAGCACCCCATTTCCCAAGAATGAAGCAACAGCCCATCCGAAGCGACAGCCACGCCCCTTCTGACCATGCCCAAAAAGCAAAAGAATGTGTGAAAAAAATGAAATGTGGGTTTAAAAACGTTTGATCCAGTGCGTGGGTTTCCGAACTTTCCGCTGGAGTTCGTACCGTCTTTTTGTTGCGGTTTCATTGCTGCTGCCGCGCCCAATATTTCGCCATTTTTGTCGCTTTTTCTTTGGTAATAACTCGCGATATAGAGCTTTTGCCGCCAAGATTTTCTCAAAAGATGCTTGCACCAGCACGTCCTGCTGAGCATTTTGACATATTAAAAGTTAGATTTTGAGTAGGTGACCGTATAAGCAAATTTTCCCTCAAAACGTTTCGCGTAAAAATTATTCGGGTTTCATGATAAATTTGATGACCAGAGTGGGATGCTGTGAAACTTTTCATCAGATTCACTCCAGTACATTTCGGCATTATGAAACTTCAAAATTTCAAAAATCGCAAAAAAACCTCTATTTCAGAGCTAAGTTTTAAGATGGAACTACTACCGTCCAAGTATTGCTTATCGCGACCTGGTCCCGGATCGGAACCGGAAGCCGGAAAGACAAAGAAGAAGCTTCGGCCGCGAAGATGATCATCCTAGGTCCGTTTTAAAGGGACGGACAAGCGAGGAATTTGCTATTTATGAATCCTTGTTGATTCTGCCGTTTTGCTGAGACTATAATGCGCAAAATGATGCTTTGCGTAATCAGATACTGGAGACTCGGCTCGAGCACACGTATTAGCTGCCCTATTTTCTCTTTTTCAGAAGGCCTTTACACCCCGGAAGACTGGTCGGCAAACCCCGGTCTGTATACGGTAGCCGTGGAGCAAAAGAAGAACCACCACGCTAAGGGAATGATAGAAGATTCTAGATTGTTCGTTTTTCTTGATAAATGGTCATTTTCTCTGCTTCGGCAAGCAATTACGCCAAACGCCTCTTCTTCGTCGACTCGCCAGCGAATGACTTTTTACAAATCATGCGGCCGCTGAACGCCTCCGAGCTACGGCTGATGCCAAAGTTTGTTGATTTTTTTGGGAGATGAATTAGGTTTCGTTTCTGGACTGTTAGCGTGGGCGTGTTTTTTCCAGTAAGTCCGCACGGCCCTAAAGAGCAATATAAACCATCTTTATGGCATTTTACATGTTTTTAAGAATAAAAATATCTAAAAAATTTTCCCATGACTGAAATCGCCCGGCTAACAGTTCCGTACCAAAAAATTATACCCTTTCCAGGAGCGCCTACAAACTCGGGGGCGATCTCTGGATACCGCGAGATCCCAGATTACACCAACGACTCTGGGCCGGCTCCAGAATGCTGGGATGTCTAAATTGTAAGGGTTTACCCAACTTCTGAAACGAGAATCGGATTTAGTGACGAGCCTGCGCAATCTCACCGATCCGCCGAGTATGATCCCCGACGACGTCTACTGGCTCTCCGTGATTCGCGACCTGCACTTCGAGTATCGCGCAATTCCGTTTCTCGTCTCGGGCACATTACTGGGTTGATATATTTTGGTGGTTGGATACCAGCGGGTACCTCCCCTAAGCTAACCAGGGACGCGTAGGCATGCTAATAGATAGTTTTTGGTGGTACTGGGCGTCCCTATACAACAACCGCCTCCAACTCGGCCCAGAAGTATCGGATCGGAATGATCCGTTTCACCGCCAGTCGAAAGGCCTGAGCGGCGAGTTTGCAATAATCTTCAAAACGTCTTTGTGAGCGCACCATTGGCTTGTATACAGCTCTGAAAACCGGAAAATCTTAGAAAGAAACTTGCAAAATAGCGCATTTAAAATAA